AACTAGAATCCAGGAAGGGTTTGTTTTTTTTTTTTTTTTTTTTTTTTTTTTGGTACTGGGGATTGAACTCCGGTCCTTGCACTTGCAAGGCAGATGGCGGAACCACCGAGCCAAATCCCCAACCCTACAGAGACTTTTTATAGTCCTCATTCCAGATTTAGAACATCACAGGCACAAGGCCCTGGACCATGAAACTGTGCACAGACTCTTAACCAGTGGCTGTGCCTAAGGCGGAGGTGACTCAGACAGCCGGGCTCAGCTCCTTCTACTGAGCTTCCCATGCCTGCGGATAGCATCCAAGCTCACAGGCCGTGTGAAGCCCCACGGTTCTGGCGCATGACATTCTCGATGCTGACTTCTTCCACCTCCTGCAGTCCCTTCGTCCATCCTGGACCTGGTTGATGACCACCACGGCTCTGGTGGGGGACAGACTGTGAGGTGCACAGCCGAAGGCGTCCCTCTTCCTGACATTGAGTGGATGATCTGCAGGGACATCAAGAGGTATGGACTGTGGGTATTCCCTGTTGCTTTGTGCTCAGAATATTTCTGCCTCAACAGGAAGGACTGCAAATGCATCTTATTGCTTTGCTTGGTTCTTTTTTGTATTTGTGATTCTTCTTTGTCCTATGGCTATAAGGAGAAGGCTTTCATCAGATTCTGAAATGGTCTCTAATATGAAGAAAAGATGCATCTTAAGAACCATGGTCCTATCAGGATTTGTACTACCCTGGCCCATATGTTTACCTCACATTTCTTCTTTGGTGAACTTTCCTGGCTAGACTGGTATGTGAACACAAATAGCACCCATGTGACTGCTTTGGCCTTCACTGCCCTACTTACTGTTTGAATTAACTACCACTTCCCCCTTTCTCCCCCACTCCCCAGACTTTTTTAGGGGGGAGCATTGCACATTGAACCCTTTTTCCCTGGGCTACATCCTCAGCTCTTTTTTATTTTGAGACGGGGTCTTGCTAAGTTGCTCAGGCTGAACTTGAACCTGGGATTGCAGGCATGTACCAGGGTGCCTGGCCCTCCTCCATCTTAGGCAGGCATGTGAACTACCCATGGCCACTGACCATGTTCAGATGCCTTACTTGCTTTGCCCCCTAAGCCGAGACTCCTAGTCCCCACTCCTGTGAGGGCTAAAAGGTGACTTGGATGCTGGCTGGAGCACAAATCTAGGTCTTGGTGCTCAGTTTGGTGGATTACTGAAGCACAGTGGCATTTTAGGACTCTCCCAGAGTGTGTGGAGAGAAGGGGAAATTGGGACTGTTAAATAGGCTTCAGGTTAAACTGCTCAACTTCATGGATTCAAGGTTTGGGATCCATATAAATATTTTATTGAAAATGTTTATGCCTGCCTCCTTCCCAGATAGTTAACTTTCACTTGTCTGTAGGCAGGTTATTTCCTCTGGAGTGTGTTTGAATGTTAACACACATAGCCTATAGCACCCCCAGGTACAGTCAAGATCACTGTCCCTACTCACACCATGACTCCCAATAATTGGTTCCACCCCTGTGTTCTTTTTCTCTCTAGATGTAATAATGAAAGTTCATGGACAGTTTTGGCCAACAACATTTCAAATATTATCACGGAGATATATCCTCAGAGCAGGAGTATTGTGGAGGGCAGAGTGACATTTGCCAAAGTGGAGGAGACCATTGCTGTTCGATGTGTGGCCAAGAATCTCCTCGGGTCTGGGAATCGAGAGTTGAAGCTGGTGGTTCCCAGTAAGTAGCTCAGTAGTCACAATGGCAGCAGGTCATCAGCTGAGCCCTGTATTCCTCACCCACGTGGAGTGTGGAGCCCAGATTGTGTGCTGTAGGAATCAAGGCCAAAATCCAGATATAAAAGCACTAAAAAGCCTTCCTCGGGCATCAGCTTTTAGATTCATATACAAAGTGGCATCTTGCAGAGGTCCTTGATAAGTGGATAAGCCATTTGCTTATCTGCTAGGTGTAGCTCCTCCATCTCTTTAGTCTCAGCATCTGTGTGTGGAGTGAAGAAAGAGGAAGAAGCATCTTCTATCTCATTGCTCTTTACAACAGTGCAGATAGGATGAATTCCTGAAAGATAAAAAGGACAAATGAAGGCAAAAGCAAGAGAAGCAGAATGCAACCTTTCAACCTGCACTTTATAATAAAACTTAAAAAGTAGAGATTCTACACATATGGTAACTCTCAATCTCATTTAGCAATGTTATTCCTACTCAGACTCCATCTAAAGGTCATTCTTGAAGCATCTTTGGACAAAGTTTAGAGATCTCCTGATGGAATTTTTCCAACTGCTGTTTCAAAGGACGAGTTGGTGTAGTTTCAAAGGCGCAGATATTTGGGAGATGGCATTGCACTCCCGTAAAATGATCCAGGCAGGCAGTGAGAGATTCCAACCAGACACAACCACCAACGTCCTGTCTCCCCACGTACCTGGAGTAAATCCTTCACTGGGCTCCTCTCTTTGTCCTCTAGCCCTGCATTCTGAACTCACGGTGGCAGCTGCAGTGCTGGTGCTGTTGGTGATTGTGATCATCTCACTCATTGTGTTGGTTGTCATTTGGAAACAGGTAGGTATTTTCTCCAAACACTGAAATATTTGAACCCAGTAAGAATAAGAACAGCAGCTTAGAACACTGCTCAGTGTAGAGGGCGGGCTAAGGGATGACAGGTGGGGTGAATGGTGTTGGACCCCTCTGTATCCATTCACTTTGTTGCTGCAGTGAAGTTGTGGTGCTTTTAGACAACTCATGAGTTGCCTATCCTGCTCGTTTATAGAAACCGAGGTATGAAATTCGCTGGAGGGTCATTGAATCAATCAGCCCTGATGGACACGAATATATTTATGTGGACCCCATGCAACTGCCTTATGACTCCAGATGGGAATTTCCGAGAGATGGGCTAGTTCTTGGTAAGCTCCTATGGGGGAAACCTCACCAGACTGTTCTTACCCCTTGCTGTTTGTAGGCTTTTTGCCTAGTAAGAACCAAGCAATAAAAATTTGCTTGCACAAATGTACTTTCATTTCAAAAATTGTTAAGGGGATTGAGGGTGTAGCTCAGTGGTGGAGTGCTTGCCTCACATATATTAGGCCCTGAGTCTGATTCCTGCCACTGAAAAGGCAAGAAAGAGTCAATTTTATTACTGCACTTGTTTTTAAAATCTCAGGTAGAGGCTTGTCAAAGATACTCACCAAAATGACTTTGCTTTGGAAATGACACAAACTAGAAATGAATTTTTCTGACTAAAAAGAGCTAGAGGAGAAATGAATGAGGAAAACTACAAAGTGTACTTTGGTCAGGTTAATTCTGAGGCGCCCAAGATACTTCCTTATGTATAAGAGATAAAAAGGCTGTAAAACTGCCGGCACAGTATAAGACAACTTGTCACAGATTTCAAATGTTTCAATTCTAGGATGAGACTAAGTATATGAAATCCAAAGAAATTCTGGTGGTTTTAGTTTGCTTGTTTGTTTTGTTTTGTTTTTAATCACATTCTGAATGAATAAAAACAAGACAAAGGCAAATGAAAGTTAGAGCTACGGATTGTGTCACAATGAATAATCTAGCCAAATGCAGTTTTTAATTATCCTATTGGTCTCATTTCAAAATACGGTAGTTTCGGTTTTAGAGAGTTACTTACACTAAAATCAAACAAGGTACATTTCAGTGCTCCCAATTTCAAATGATTATATTTAAGCTTCCTTTATTATATTTTCACCACTGTTTCCCAAAAAAGAGATGAGGCTCTTAAGGAAGTTAAAAAGTAATAAAATATGAGCGGGAGAGGAAGAGCAAAATCCCTGTTATGGTTTATATCTCGATGTCCCCCCAAAGCTTCTTGTGATTATAGGTGGGACTCTTGGGAGGTGATGGGATCATGGGGATGTGGTACACTCAGTGGATGACTCTACTGATGAGTTTATAGCTAAATGTGATGTTGGGAGCTGAGCCTGGTCAGAGGAGGTGGTCACTGGGGCGTGGCCTGGAAGGGTCTATCTCCCTTTCTCCTCCCTTTATTGCTCTTTGCTTCCTGCCCACCATGTCATGAGCAATTCTCCTGTGCCACGCCTCTGTGCCATGACCCTCTGCCATGCCACCTTGCCTTGGAGCCAGCTGACTATGTAATAAGCATGTGCAAACTATAATCCAAAATAAACTCCTTTTGGTTGTGGGAATCAGGTATTGTGTCCCAGTGATGAGTAAAGTATCTGAGTCACATTTTGGTATCAGAGGAGTGGGGTCATTGTTGTGATTACCTGACCATGTGCTGCAAAAGCCTTTGGAACTTGTTCTCAAGAGGAGTTTGGAAAGGTTTGAGGGTATGGGCTGGAGAAGCAGTTGTAGAATGTTGTAAGCCAAGCTTGATGGGAGACTATAGTCAAGCCCAGAAAACTAGAATATTGACAGTAATACAGCTGGCAAAGATCAGGCTCAAGAGGTTTCAGTTGGGAAGAAGGACTCCACTGGCAGTTGGAGTCCAGGTCATGTGTGTTATGATCTGGCAGAAAATTTGTTTATGTTTGCTCATGTTCGGAGACACTACAGGAGACTGAGATTAAGGGCAGCAGACTAATTAACCTAGCGGAGGAAATTTCATGGCAGTCCAACGTTCAGGCTGTAGCTCAGGTACTGTTGGGAGCTTTTAGGTAGTTCTACATTGTGAATCAATAGCAAATGGCCTAGCTGAATGTTTTACAAAGTTTTTGATTTGGCCAGAAAGGAAGGGCCTGTAAAATTGGGATCTGGAAAGATGGAGTAGGGGAGAACTTGGCTGATGGAAACATTAAAAAGAAGCCATGTAGGGTAGGGTATTTAGCTCAGTGGTTCCACTGCCTGCCTCATAAGTGCAAGGTCCCAAGGTTAATCCCTGGTACAAAGAAAAAAAAAAAGCCAAGTACTTTACTGTGGGACCATAGAAAAGATGGCTTGATGACATCACAGAAACCAATAGGACCCCCCTCTTTGAAGGCTCAGAGTTGCCAAAATGAAAGACTTTGTTTTAAGAAAGCGCTAGGGCACTGACCTAAAAAAGGAGAATACAATTCAGGGAATTGATTCCCCTGAATTCAGTTCACCATGCTCAACCATCCAGGCACTGAGGTCTCTATTTGCATGATGTAAAAGGACCTGGCTACTACTCAAGCTGATGGCAGACCTTGGCTTTTTCCCTGGTGCTGATTTTATGGGCATGCAGAGAGTGCTGTGGAGTCATGGAGGCTTCCACCCAGATTTCAGAAGGCCTGTGAGGTCAGGCATTGTACCTGTGACAGGACAGTGTATGAAGCTGTGAGAGTGGAGCTGAAGGTACACTGGAGACCTCAAGAAGTTGGAGAAGCCAGAAACATTGAACACCCGAGGCGCATCACAAGGAGCGAGCAAAGCCTACCCAGGAGAGAAGCCATGAGGGCTACTTGAGGGCAGTGCCAGGGCTGCTCAAGCAGTACGAAGTTTGTATCTTACCACATCTTGCCCTGGGTGCTGAACATGAAGCTATAGGATGTAGTCCTTCATGAGTAAGGTTTAATTTCTTGAAAAGGAGCATAAGGTGGGTGTCTAACTCCCACATTTATTTTTAGGAACATTTCTATTATTTATTTTAATTTTGTTGTGTTTAGTAAACTTTTACAGTGTGACAACACTGTAAAACACTGTTGTTCATCAGTGCTGGTTTTCAAAGGTATTGTACATTTTCATATATAAATTGTAGTGAGCTTTTAGAAGGAAGGTCATAGAGACTGCCAATTAAAAGTCCAAATTTATTTCTTTTAATGTATCAATTAAACATTAAACTTGGGAACATTAAAATCTTGTTAAAATTATTAGTAGACAAAAATGACTTTGAGAGCGTTCCATGTTATCTTTACTGGAGGAATTGTGCAGAAGGAATTGTAATTCCACTTCCCATAAACTGCAAACAGACTTTACAGACAAAAATAAGAAAGAAGATTTCTTCAATAAGGCAGAGAGTTGATGGAAAGTTTTTCTAGCTGGAGTCAAGATATTGGACCAATTGAATTACATCAGGGTAGAGATCTTGAATGTTACAACTGAGATGTCAAGGTCAGTGTCAGCTGGTAAATTTGAGCTAATAAATTCTGAAACTACAGGGGCTCCTGAATCTAAGTACAGAGGAAGCAGCAGTGGGCTAGGAAGGTAGCTCAGCGGCAGAGAACTTGTCTAGCATGTACAAGACCCTGGATTTGGTCCCTAACACACACACACACACACACACACACACACACACACACACACACACCCGACACATCATTTCAAAATCAGGGCACTGAGTAAAACTGGAATTCACATGACGTGATGCAGCCTAAGACCCCTTCCCCACTGTCTTGTTATTTATTGCTATGTAACAGTTGTGCCCCAACTTAGTGGCTTAAGACAGTGAGCAATTTATTGCTTATAATTCTATAAGTGCACGCAGCCAAATAATTCTTCCACACCACGGGATGTTGGCCAGGGGCTATCGGAGTGTTCAAACAGGTTGGAAAATCCAAAAGGACCACTCAACATGTCTGATCCCTCAAGGGTCCCACTGGGAAGCTAGGCCTAGCTGAGGAGCTTAAATGACACAATATCCTCTCTCTCACTTGCTCTTGTTTCTCTCCCTCTCCCTCCCTCCCTCCCTCCCTCCCTCCCTCTCTTTCTGCATCCCTTCTATGATTGACCTTTCTTCTTGGCCTTCCTGTGGCTTCTCTACGTGGGCCTTCTCTAGATTCCTTACATGATATTTCAGGCTACCAGAAGTGAAAAACACTCTAGCCAGGTGTGGTGGTGCAAGCCTGTAATCCCAGCACTGTGAGGCAGATGCATCACCATGAATTTGAGGCCATCCTGACCTAAATGTCAAGACCTTGTCCCAAAAAAGAAAAAGAAAAACAAAAAGGACCTTCTAAGTGTTCCTAACTACCAGGAAAGTAAAATATCAATAAAATAAAGTATTAAATTAAAATATAATTTAGTGTTTATAATAAACATCAGCATTTTTAACAAAATCTAAAAAATAACAGTCTACCTAAATTCCTATATAACTTGGATGAAAATAAAAATAAGACTCTACAACCAAAATCTTGATGTCAGTTATGAGACTAAAGGCAATCTTCACACTGTAAAAATAGTGTGTTCGACACACGAGTATTGCTTATAGTCATATCACAGGTGTTTTGTTTTCCTGTCTTTTTTTTTTTTTTGGTACTGAGGATTGAACTTGGGTCCTTGCACTTGTGAGTCAGGCAGCAGAACTGCTGAGCTAAGTCCCCGGCCATCCTGTCTTTTTTTTTGAGACAGGCTCTCACTATGTAGTTGAGACTGACCTGGAACTCTATGTAGCTCAGGCTAGTCTCGAACTCACAGCGATCCTCCTGCCTCAGCCTCCTGAGTGCTGGGATTACAGGCATGCTCCACCATGCCCGGCCTCATCCTGTCTTTTTTTATTGGATGTACTTAACATCTTGTTGGTCTCGCTATTTTGTTAGGAGGTTCTTGAGATGTTTTACCTGTCTGCTCATTGGTCTGCTCTAGAATTCTTTTGTGGAATTCTTTGGGCAGATACCTATTGTTCTTCTATTGTAATTGATCTTTTATTAATTCCAGCCCTAATTCATCCATTACAAACAATATCCAACATTGAATTTCAATGTTTGCATTCTGTCAAGAACCTAATAACATTTTCCTGCCTACTTCTTCTTCTTCTTCTTCTTCTTCTTTTTTTTTTTTTTTTTTTTTTTTTTTTTTTTTTTTTTTGGTACTGGGGATTGAACTCGGGACTTGTGTTTGCAAGGCAGGTGGTGGCACCTCTGAGCTAAATCCCCGGCCCTCCTGCCTACTTCTAACATGACCATTTTGTAGCCTTTGGACTAGTCAAATATTTATTTACATTATTTTTTTTCTCATCGGAATCAAGGTCTTCATTCTCTATTTCTCTGTCATTTCTTGCCCTGTCTCACTGTCATAACTTCTTTGGTTTATATGATCCACATCATAAAAACAATCTGTAAAGCAGCTTGCATCTTTTCCCCACATAGTAACTATCTCCTAGGAAGTTAATGGGTTCTGCAGACCTGCCTTCAAAAATCCTGTTACAAGTCAGGTGCAGAAGGGCACAGGCCTAAAATTTCAGCTGTTTGAGAGGCTGAGGCAAGAGATTTGCAAGTTCAAGGAACCAACCAAGGGAACTTAGTGAGATTCTTCTCAAAATGCACAAAAATGTAGCATGGGGCATAAAATGGGTAAAAGTTACCCACTAGTGATTTGTCACACGTGCATACAACTGGCCATTTGTCACACAGGTGGGCAAACACAAAGATCATGTCCTGTATCACTCCCGTGCAGCTGCTGTGATGCACAGCTGGGTAACAATGCAAAAGTAAAGGTTTTCATTATAAAATTATGATCTGGGTATATTTTTTCCAGCCTTACTCATGAATGTTTGCCCTGCTGGATTTTGGTCTTGCTTTGGTCCCATCCCTTTTTGTCTTCCTACTTTCCCTTTTCAGAATGGAAATGTTTGCCCTGGGCCTTTGTATGTTGGCAGTGTTTAACCTTTTTAAAGTTTCACAGGGTCTTTTGATTTTTATAGGTTCTTATAGCTAAGGGTTTGCTTTAAATCTCAGAGAAGACTTTGGACGTGGTCTTTTCAGAAATGTTGGAATGGTTAGCACTTTGTGGTAACTCTAAGAGAGGGGCTAAATGCGTTTTTTGTAAAGAGATGCACATGAGTTTTTTGGGGGCCAGGTGGAGAAGGTTATGGTTTATATCTAGCTATCCCATAAGGCCTCATGTACTCATAGGTGGGGCTTTTGGGAGGTGATTGGGTCATGGGGGTATAATACTCAATGGGGGCACAATACTGGTTAGTTCATCAGACTAAATGATGAATTTATAGCTAATGTGATGTTGGGAGGAGGTGGTCACTGGCTGAGTGGCCTGGAAGGGTCTATCTCCATCCCTTTTCCCTCGATCTTGGTTTTCATTTCGTGCTTTGAGGCCATAAGCCACTTGTCCATCATGTGTCTCTGCCACGCTGTCCTGCCTTGGAGTCAGCTGACTGTGGACAACCTTTACAAACTTTGACCCAAAATAAACCTCTCCCCCTTTTTGCTGTGGGTGCTGGGTATTGTATTCCAGTGAAGTGGAAAGTAACTGTCAACCCCTAATATGCCAAGGAGTCTTGCCTTATCTCTCTGCTCCTGGTGCATACCAGGTAGCTGGTAAAGCAGTTCCTTTCAGGTGTAATTTCCAGTGGTGCAGATGGGTAGAAAGGGTAGTGCTTGCTCTTTGTGTCTTTCATGAGCAGAGTCCTTCCATGACAGGGCTGTCCGTGGCCGCAATGACACCCTAGAAACATCTCTCATTGATTGTGAGCTCTTCAAGGGTGGTGACAATGGCTTTGCTTTCTCTTTGCCTCTCTCAGTGCTCAGCAAAAGCCTGTGCTCCAGACGTGTTTTGCCTCTGCTATCATGGTCTTCCTAGTAAAAAGCCAGCAATGAGCTTAGCCCCAGAGTTTTTCTTTTGAGTACTCCTTGGGGTCAGCGAAATTTGGAATGCTGAAGTCCTTCCAGTGGTTAAAGACTTAGTGATGCAAAGGACCCCTCTGTTTGCATGTTTGCATGTGGCAAACAGAAGGGTAGAGAACCAGGGGGCTTGAGTGGGAGCCATGGGTACAAGTGGAGATGGTTCTGGGGCCTGGGTAACACTGGTAGCCAGAGTGCTCATAGCAGGCTTGTACCCTCCTCTCTCCTGTCTGTGTTTTTGTTTCTGTCACCAATGTTATTTGACAAAAGCAATTACACTAATTTCCTTCCCTGTGAGAGCAATTCTTTTTTCTTTTATTTATTTATTTATTTTGTTTTTTTGAGACAGGGTCTCACTATGTAGTTGAGACTGACCTGGAACTCACTATGTAGCCCAGGCTGGTCTCAAATGCAATTATTTTTTGTGACATGATGGCTGGGAGGAATGATTAGGCTTACTCCATGCAGGAAAAACACCCACCCAGCTTTATACCAGGCGTGCTGGCTTGAAAGCTGCCTTGACCTTGGAGTTGGGAGCTGGCGTGTGTTGATGGCTCTGCTTGCCCACAGGTCGCATCCTGGGATCCGGTGCCTTTGGGAAAGTGGTGGAGGGAACAGCATACGGGCTAAGCCGCTCCCAGCCTGTTATGAAGGTGGCCGTGAAGATGCTCAAACGTAAGCTCTGACTGTGGGGGGGTACTTCGAACACAGAGACACTAAGTGAATTGGTCAGAATCACAAAATGCAAAGCTTATAAATAGCAAATTTAAGATGAGATCCTGGCTCTTTTAACTCTAGGTCTTATGTATGCTTGGACCTTTTTGTCAGGTAGGTTTATTTTTATTCCTCTTGTCACTCATTCATACATTGGAAAATCAGGAGTTATCTCTAATGACTGACCTCTTCTTACTCTGAAGAATAGGAACTAGTCATTAGAGTCTATGTAGACTGAATGGACCATCTGCTCCTCTTTTAGACTCTTGGTAAATAAAATGATATCAAATCACAGGATTAGCCATAGTGCCAGCTCTTATGCGGAACAAGAGGTAGAGAGTTGAGTTGCACTGATACATGATTTATTTCTTCAACAGCTACAGCCAGATCCAGTGAAAAGCAAGCGCTCATGTCTGAACTGAAGATAATGACTCACCTGGGACCACATTTAAACATTGTGAACTTGCTGGGAGCCTGCACCAAGTCAGGTAGGCCCCCTGACCTGGGAGAGAGGCTTTGAACTAAAAATCTGTGGCTGTGAAACTGTGGAACCAGGGTCAGATCTGCCCTCTTCTTGCCCAAACACACCAAGAAATATAAATCTCCAGCAGAGTCCACTGGTCCCACTGAACTGATGGAAGGTTATTGTTTTTGTGCAATATCACTTGCCAGTCCAGACATAAATATTTGTAGAGACGGGCATAGGTGGTACATGCCTGCAATCCCAGCATTCTGGGAGGCTGAGGCTGGCTGGAGGGTCACAAATTCTACCCCAGCCTGGGCAACATAGTGGCTTAAAAACCTAGTTAAAAAAAATCATGACTTTATGTTCTTCATTTTCATACCCATCTTCTAACTGATTTTGGTTCCCACAGGCCCCATTTACATCATCACTGAATACTGCTTCTATGGAGATTTGGTCAACTATTTGCATAAAAATAGGGATAGCTTCCTAAGCAGGCACCCAGAGAAGCCTAAGAAAGAGCTGGACATCTTTGGATTGAACCCCGCAGATGAAAGCACAAGGAGGTGAGTGTGAGGAGGGTGTTGTTATTGTATGAGCCTCTCAAATAGAGAGGACCCATGTCCTGATAGATTCTACGTTCTGAAGATTCAGTACTTGAGGTAGCAGAGTTCAGCCGACCTGCTGGTTCTTATGGCAGTGCCGACCCTGCAGGTGGTCGGGACCGGGACATCATGTGGGAAGGCCTTGCTGTTAGGTTCCATTATCTTGTGTAACACACTTAGGAAGTGTAAGACTCAGGTCCACCTTGTAAAAAATTGTCTGAGGATCTCTAAGCTAGAGCTACTTGTCCTTTCTGAATGCAGGCTAGCAAATCAAGCCAGTGTTAGTGGTCCGCCCACAGAAGCCTATCGATAGAGATCTCTGTAGATGTGAAGATCTGGAAGGTCAGGAAATACAATGAAGAGCTGGGGATTTAGCTCAGTGGTGCTGTGTCTGCCTTGCAAGTGCAAGGTCCTGAGTTTGATCCTCAGTACTGGGGGTGGGGGAGTACAATGAATTGGTATAAATTACTTAATGGACCCTAAATGGGTGCTAAATTTATTGAGTAGCAGGATCTGTCTTCCCAGGCCACCTGACCACAGTGATTCATGTTCATGGCTTATGAATTGAGAAACAGAAGAATAATGACAGTGTCAAGAATTTTCCAAATTTTGAATGTAATAGACATAAGATTTTTAAGTTGTTGTTAAGATATTCCCCTGTCTTCTATGTGGCTCTGCAGGATGTCTGTGCCCTTAATAAAGATGACAGAGGAATGGGATTGAACACAGTTAAGTAAAACTATGTAAGAAGAATCATAGGGGCTGACATCTGTGGGGCCAAATATTTTCATAGCATTTCCCGTCTTTATAGGAGGGGCTCCTCCTCCACCTTCCTTCCTAGGCTCCTGTGTTTGAGAAGACCTGTGTGTTTGTGTGGTTTTGCTTTTGCTCACCTTTTAGCCCCTGTGCCTGCCTCAGTACCTGGCACACGGGGGTGCCCATATCATCATCTGCTGTGTCATCTACTCAGTGACCACTCCGGAGGTGCACTCTGGGTAAAATTTCCTTTTCTGTCTTTGCAGCTATGTGATTTTATCTTTTGAAAACAATGGCGACTATATGGACATGAAGCAAGCTGATGCCACACAGTACGTCCCCATGCTAGAAAGGAAGGAGGTTTCTAAATATTCGGATATCCAGAGATCGCTGTATGATCGTCCTGTCTCATATAAGAAGAAATCTATGCTAGGTAAAAGTGTCTGTTCTCACTCTAGGCATTGTGATCTTCCAGTGGCTTTAATATGATACTGAAAACAGTCCCAGGAAGGTGAACAGACAGGGATGATAAGTAGACCTGCCAGGCCACAAGGTCCCTAAACGCAGGGCTGCTCAGCCTGGTCTGTGACATAAGTTTGTGCACTGTGAATTAAAAAAAAAAAAAAAAAAAAACAGATTTAAT